AGAAAATTTTTCGGTCGCTACCCGGAATCGAACCCGGGACCTTTGAATGAGAGGCCAACACCTTAACCTCTAGGCCACGAGAGTCCCCACAGCATATTTAACAATAGACACCAACAATTATAACCTGACAGCAACGTGTAAACATTTTTCTTGCATACCTTCCTCAAACAAACGAACTAATGAGCCGCTCATATTTTGTTCATATATAATGCTTCTTTAACTTGAATGCTTTGGGATTGCTGGAACATGAAGTCTTCCCCTTTTCCCCTTTCCCAGACCCCCCTTTTTCTATTAATCCTATTGCCGAGTGACATTGTATTAGAGCGCCACTGTACTTTCCGACGCCCCAACTTACTACGTTGAAAAATAGCTCACTTTTTAAAAAGTATTTTATATTATATATATCCAAACCTTGATCACGAATGCCACGGCCATCAACACAGTATAAAAAAAAGAAAAAGAATCAGCCGAAAGAGGTCTAGCAATAGAAGCTTTCAATTTACAAACTACTGCACCAAGAAAGCCAGCGTCCAAATTACACGAAGGCCAACCAGGATACCATAGAGATAAACACATCACTCCCTAAAAACACGTATTAACAGACATGTCGACCTAGAAAATGTGAGTGAAGCATTTACTAGCAGATCTATTTTATCACCCTTAGACCCACTTTCAGTCAGCGTGCCTTGAAAGACAACGCTGGAAGATTTAGGAGAAAGAGGCGCCACCACCCCCAACCCCCCACCCCCAACGTTACACCAAACCAAAAAAAATGTGACATCAAAAAACGTTTTGTTTTACGCCATATCAAGAACGGTGTGGATTAGTGGGGCAAAGTACTCAGTAATAGTGCAGGAAGACAGCCAAGAGACTACTGATTGTGGAGGTCGCACTAGGAGAAAAAAAGAAAATATACACGCGGCTACATGTATTTATGTCAGAGCAAATTCTATATAAACATTTATGTATACATATTGCAGTTCTTAAAAAAAATCTTAGCAAGTATTTGTTTCCTTTTTTGGGTGGGGG